CGGATAGCGCGGCCAGGAGGCCTCCACCCCCCCCCACCCTCGGCCCCCCAGGCCCTCCGGATAGCGCGGCCAGGAGGCCTCCACCCCCCCCCACCCTCGGGGCCCGGACCCCCCCGCGGGGCGCCAACCCGCGGGCCCTCCGCGGAAGGCCTGCCGGCACCTTCTCTGGCCGCGTCCTCACCTGCCCGGGAGCGCCTCCCGGGGTGGGGCTGGGCTAGGCGGTCGGGGCGGCCTCTCCCACCGCTCTGGGCTCCGCGCTCCTCCCGGCCTCGGCTCTTCCCCTCCCCCACGACCTTCCGCCCCCCTTGGTCCCGCCTCTCCCGCGGATTGGGACAGGCGCCCCCAGCGCCCTCTCCCATTGGTGAATCGGCGAGGTCGTCACCGAAGAACTGGCTGTCATGGAAACCGCGGCGTCGCTCGCGCCCGGCGGCCGCGAGACGAGGGAGGGAGGGAGGGCGGCGGGGCCGGAAGTTGCACTTTTCTTCCGGTTCCGGCGGAAGCGGGCGAGCGTTGGCGGTTCGCGAGGCAGCGGGAAACGCGGCGGCCGAGAAAGGAGACGCGACGCCGCCACCATGGTGAGTCCGGGCTCGGCGGGGGCCCGACGGGGAAGCCGGGCCGCCTCCCTCGCCCGCTGACCCCCCCTCCTCCTCCTTCTCCCCGCAGACGGTGGGCAAGAGCAGCAAGATGCTGCAGCACATCGACTACCGCATGCGGTGCATCCTGCAGGACGGGCGCGTCTTCATCGGCACCTTCAAGGCCTTCGACAAGCACATGAACCTCATCCTCTGCGACTGCGACGAGTTCCGCAAGATCAAGTAAGGAAGCCGCCGCCGCCGGGGGAGGGGAGGGCGGGGGGAGACGCGCGTCAACCGGCGCCTCCCTCCCTCCTTGTCCCTCTTCCTCTTCTTCGCTCGCAGGCCCAAGAACTCCAAGCAGCCCGAGCGGGAGGAGAAGCGCGTGCTAGGCCTGGTGCTGCTCCGCGGCGAGAACCTGGTCTCCATGACCGTGGAGGGGCCGCCCCCCAAAGACGTAAGCCGGGCGGGGCAGGGAGGAGGGCTGTGGCGGGGTCCCCGAGCTTCAAGGCCGGCTTGCTGGTCGTTGCTGCTGTGGGCGCCCGGGGGGGGGGGGGGGGGGCTTCGCCGTTCCCGGAAGTTACTTTGTATGATTTACTCTTTAAAAAATGTATAGGCAACTTTTACATTATTTAGCAGCGAGTCCGATTATGTTTTTTATGGCGGAGGAAGATGGCAGGAGGGTGGGGGGGGGGGCTGCCAAGGGACACCTGACCTATTTGAATTGGCCTGGCCTGGTTTGTTAAGAGATGGATCCGAGGGGGTCCCTGGCAGGGAAAAACTCCCTGGGAGGAACCGATCCGAGGAGGGACACATGAAGAGCGGCTGTGCTGAGCTAACCCTTTTGGCTCTTGAGCATGGCCAGTGCCTTGTGAAGGATGCTATGTGGTGACCCTTTGGCTCTTTTCCAGACTGGGATTGCTCGTGTGCCGCTGGCTGGGGCAGCAGGGGGACCTGGTGTCGGCAGAGCGGCTGGACGAGGAGTCCCAGCTGGAGCTCCCATGCCCCAAGCGCCTGCAGGTTTGGCCGGTCCTGTGCGTGGGGTTGGTGGACCATCCCAACAGGTAAGCAGAGCTACATTCAGCTGTCGAGCTGCCTCGGGCCCAAAACGCTGCTTTGGAGCTGATGAGTCTCCTTGTGGACGGGACAGAGATGAGTGTCATCTGACCTTCAAGTTCTGTGGACTGTTTTTTTTTCATTACAGGTAATGACGCCTCAGAGCCGAGGGACAGTTGCTGCTGCAGCCGCTGCTGCCACTGCCAGTATAGCGGGAGCCCCGACTCAATACGCACCAGGCCGTGGAGGCCCTCCTCCGCCCATGGGAAGGGGCACTCCCCCTCCAGGTGAGTTTTGACTAAGCTGCCCCCAACCTCTTCTCGCTAACAGAGCCGATGGGACCTGTGATGAATGATAGTATCTGAGCGTTGCTGTGAGGAGCTGTTGTCAAAGCAGGATTACTCTGAGGTCCTCTGCTGGGCTAGGAGGAGGCAGGAGGAGGGAAGGGACTGCCACTTGCTGACCCTCTTGTTTCTCTGCTCCAGGAATGATGGGGCCCCCTCCTGGTATGAGACCGCCCATGGGCCCTCCGATGGGGATGCCACCAGGCCGTGGCTCACCAATGGGAATGCCACCACCGGGAATGAGGCCGCCACCTCCTGGCATGAGGGGTAAGTCCTCTTTTGTTGGAGAGAGTTCAATTCTGAGATGAACTGCCAAAGCTATCTTATATTTTGACTCGGTATGAGAGGCCATTGCGATAGCAGCCGGGGTGAAAACAAATTGCTCAGTAGTAGCGCTACAGTATTCTTAAAGGCCGCAGGTAATTGTGACTCTTGTTTCCAGGTCCCCCTCCTCCTGGCATGCGCCCACCTAGGCCTTGATACCCATGCCGAACCCAGTGGGAGTCACGGGGGGCCGGTCTTGTTGATCACAAGATGGAAGGAGCAGGATTAGCTGTGTATGTATGTGCTGTTTTTTGATGTCATGTTGCCCTTTCTAATAAAACTTTGCCATTTCTTTCTGCGGTGTCAATGTAAGACGTGGATTTGGGGAAAGAAAATGCGGACAGTGTTTTGGGGACAATGTTTTGGGGTATCTTGGCCTCCTGGGCTCATCCCCTGCCTTCCAAATAGCCACCAAGGGCACATATACCAAGATGGTGAAGGACTTGCTTCCATGGTACTTGTCTGAAGTGGTATAGGGCCTCCTGCTTGAGGAGGGGGTTGGACTAATCAGTGGTTCCCCCAACCTTTGGGATACCGGGGACCAGTTCTATGGATAAAGGTTTTTCCACGGACCGAACAGGTGTGGTTTTGTGTGCTGCCTGCACCCCACAGATGGGGCTGTTTGTTCGTTTGCACGGTCCGGCTGCTGGCATGCCAGGACTGAGGGTTGGGGAACCTCTGTACGAGATGATCTCCCTCCCAACTCCTGTTAGAGGCTAGGAGAAAAGGTCTTTGCCTACGTGTCTTGGTGAATACGGGCATGTTCACCACCTTAAGTGAAAACAAATGCTCTTTGGCTCTCAGTGCCATCACCCGTCGTACGTTAGCAGTTTGGGTCTCTGCTGGCTCAGAATGTTTGGAAGCTGTCACTGGAGATCAGGCACATATCCCGCTTTAATACCAACAAGGCTGTAAATGAACAAACTACATGATAATTGTGTCATATTTTTCATCTGTCTCTTGAAGAAGTTCTGGGTACTCAAATACCCGAGAGAGCTTGAAGGAGGGGTTGGGCCTGGGGTGAACGGCTGCCGGTCCCATGCTAGCAGTGTTGAAATACCAATAGAAGAAAATCTCAGGGTTGAAATGAGGGGTCCTTGGTGCTCTCTGTTCTTGGTGGTTTTCTTGCAGATGTTTTGTGACCCAACTGGGCATCGTCTTCAGTGCACATGAAATGACTGCAAGAAAACCAAGGCCAGAGAGCTACAAGGACTCCATGGGGTCAAAATAAGCAGCATTTTCATGTTGTGGGAGCCCCAGGTTGAGGGTCCAGCAGCTTCTGCTAAGCACCCGCAAGCTCTCTCAGAGCTCTCCTTCCACAGTGGCTGGCTTTTCATCCGAGACTGTGGATGTGACCTTGGCGCTTAGTTGGGTAGCTAACAAAAGCCTTGGCTGAAGCGCTGATCCTTAATTGGTCCGTTTATGTTGGGAGAACCAAGGTTTCTTTACAGCTCAGCCTTTAGGTTCTGTTACAGGAAGTAACATCCAAGCGCAGCCCACTTCCTGGGCCAACAATGGCCAGCGCACAATCCTCCTCCAGCTGTCCCCCTGCACACATTCCACACTAGCTATAGAGCTGGTGGCAGAGGGATACATTCCCCATAAACTCTGGGAAATTAAATTGAGCCAAACGCCCCTCCCACTGATCAAATTCCTCAAAAGCCCATCTTGCTTAGCTGTTCTAAAAGCCGCAGCATTTAATAAGCAACCTACATCAATCATTGAACATTCCACAATTAAGTATAGATTTATCTTTCCAGTTGTTAACAATATTTTGAAGCGCTGCCATAGTTGGAAAGTTCACAATTCTTGAACAATTCCAAATACTGAAGAAAATAGTGAAGAAGACTTGCAATAAAGTCAGGTGAAGACTCCTATGGATTTCAGTAAATGTTTCAGCCCGAATTACATTTCCAGCAACTGACAGCGACAGCTAGTGGTCTGCTTCATTGTCCTATAGGCTTTTGGTCCTCCGCCCGGCCCGGTAGTTGGGCAGTAGGCCACGCCCCTAGACAATACGAAAAGGAGACCGTGGCTGGGCTGGTGCGAAGAGAGGGGCCCCCGGCTCTTTGGGTGGGTCCTATACAGAGGCCTGCCCGAAGTGGCGGCTCTCGTGACAAAAAGAGCCCCGTCCCACCCAGAGCCCTGATCCTGGGGGCTCAAGGAGTGTGGAAGCCCAAAGCGCCAGCTGCTCCATTAAGGTGGGAAGGACCTCGGGAACCTTAAGCAACTGGCCCGGTTTGTGGTGAGCTGCAAACCATAGTCGGGCACAATAATCCCAGGGCAACGGATGTGGCTCCAATGCCCGGACCCGTTGAGGGCAAGGATAACGACAATTCTCCCTGCCTTGAGAGCAGTTCTAAGCTTCCCCCTGCTGATTTGACCAAAATACCTCATTGTTACTATTGAAAATTTTTGGAAATTTCAGGAGAATGAAGAGAGCTTCCTTTAATAGCTGTTAGGCAAAGATCACACAAAAGCCTCGGGCTCCATAGCAAGGCAGGTGAGTCAACAACGGTTGGTTTATTTGGTCTCAAGGTCTTCCTGGGAAGCTCCAGAGAAGCAGGAGACCCAACTGACATCCCTCCCGAGGTCCAGTTTCCCAGCCGAGTCCTAAAGCGGCAGCCGCTGCTTGTTTCCAACTGCTAGGCTGCTGCAGGGGGGGCGAATGTGAAGGGCTCCCAAATTCCACAAGGGCTGCTGTGTGGAGGCTCACAGGTGCGCTCACTTCCGCCTGTACCTGCAGGAAGAACAAGCAGGCCGCGTCTCAGAGCCAGAGAAGACTCCAGGAAGGAAGGCCGAGTGGTGGGTGTACAGGAGCCTCACCTGGACTTGGTTTTAAATTTCCCTCCTTTCCTTCTATCTGGGAAGCCCAGGGGCTTGCGGTCTTCAAAGGAAGGCCTGCAGAGAAGAGTGGGGCCCTCAGTGGAGCCTCAAGGGGACGAGGGGGCCATTTCCTCCGAACCGCCCAGGGTCTTTGGGGAGAGGGGGGGGGGGCAGGAGGAGATGCTTCCCAGTCCAGCTTCCCTCCTGGTGACCCTCTGGGCACCATTCCCTCTGTTGCCGCCTTCTGGGCGGTTTTGTCTCCACTTCCCAGCCAGGGCCCTTTCTGACCCACCAGACGGGGCTTCTGGGCCCACACACTGAAGGGGAAGCATCATCCAGCCGGAGCCCCCTGAACCCCCCCACCGCAGGGAGGGAATCGCAAGGGCGGGACAGCAATACTCGCCCCGCTCGATACTGCTTGAGGGCTTTCTTGGTGGTGCTGGTGAGCTCTGTGTCAAAGGCCGATGTGCTCCTCTTGCGCTGCTGCTTGGGCCCTTCCAGGGGAAAGAGCCAGGGAGCCAGGTTATATAAGCCCCCCCCCCCCCTGCACCCCCTTGGAACTAGAGAAGGGGAAGGGAGGCTTTCTTCTCACCAGCCTTCGTTTCCACCAGCGGCGTTTCCTCCGGCATGGCCCGGGCTCGCTTGGGCCGGCGGCTCCTCTTGGACAGCCGCTCAGCATACATCTGGGCCTTCAAGATCTCAAACTGGGAACGTTCCTCTGGCTGCCGACAAGAGAGACGCCCCGCAAGGGTGAGTGGGGGGGGAGGCCAGGGGCCCAAGCGCCACCCCTCCTTCCCTCCTCCAGGCTCACCGTCGGCTGAACCTTCTTCTGAGAATCCCTCACAAACTTTGTCCTCTTCTTCTTGCCTCGAAGCGCCAGGTCAAACTCCTGGAGAGCCTTGGCAACTGGGGGGAAAGCGAGCGGGGGGGTGTCAGGGCCAGGCCTGGATGGACAGATCCAAGCCCTTTCCCAGAGCCAACCCTTACGCTTCTCCTTCTTCCTCTCCTCCTGGCTCTGGAACCAGCTGCGGGGAGGGCCTCCAGCTGCTTGCTGGGAACCGCTGTCCAGCTTCCGCTTGGCAGTGTTGATCTGGAAGGAGAGCAGACCTGGTCAGCGGCCTCGGGAGAAGGAAAAGTCTTCACCCGACAAGCAGAGAACCGGTGGGACCTCGGGACTCGCCTGCCCTTGGCGAGCGGGGGAGTAAAGAAAGGGAAGAAGTTACTCATCCCCCAGTGGAGCAACTGAGGCAGTCCTCCCCCAACACCCCCCCCCCTGCTCATGGTAGATCCTGCAGGCGTTGAAAGGCAGTCATTCTCTGCCTGGACTTGGTCTCTCCCCGCTCTTTTGAATGAATTTCTCCTAAATTAAGCCCTCTGGAGAAACCCCAAGTGGAAACTGAGACTAGCCCCCATCCCTCCTTCCCCCCTCGCTGGGTGGGCAGAGCGCTCTGCCCAGGAGCCCCCCCCCTCACCTGGGCCTCCGAGCACTGCAGCTCCCGTTCTTCCCGCTCCAAGCGCAGCACAGCGTACACATCTGGCTCCAGCTTCTCAATCTTCTCCCGGAAGCGCAGAATCACGTCTGGGAGGGGGGCACAGAAAGGCTGCTGCCACCACAGAGTCCCTCAGGGCAAACCTGTCCCCCCCCCCCAACCCTCCGCACGGCTGTTACCTTGGGGGAGAATCCTGGCCTTGACGGGGGCCTTGGCAGCCTTGACAATCTCCTTCAGCATCTTGCGCTCTTCCTCGCCCACTAAGGACACGGAGCGGCCCACGCGCCCTGCCCGCGCTGTGCGCCCCACCCGGTGGACGTAGTGCTTGGTGGTGTTGGGCATGGTGAAGTTGATCACCTGCAAGTACACGGGAGGCAGGAAAGAGCATCAGGCTCCCATGGGGAGGAGGGGGCCTGGGAGGGGGGCTGAGCAGCAGGGACCTTACTGTTTTGACACCTTCGATATCGAGGCCTCGGGCGGCAACGTCGGTGGCCACCAACACGTCGATCTGCTCGTCCTTGAATTGCCTGCAAAGAACGGAGCCCCTGAAAAGGCCTGCCCAGCCCCCAACGCGACCCCCCC